ACTGTGATATTGCTAAAACTGATATATTTGGGGAAAATATATACAAGTATAGTAGTTTAGAAATGGAGTGGTAAACACCAAAAGAATCAGAATTAAAAGCTTCCAATTCTATGGAGATCTTTTTTTCTTTTTTTATTATATTATTGTTGTACTGGTGCTACATTGTGACATTTACAAAAGTTCTTACAATATATCATAGTTGAATTCATCTCTCCATCATTCTCCTTAATTCCCCCCTGCCCTTGCTGGAATAGTTTCAACATGTCTCATTTTTTCATTTCATACATGAATACATAATAGTTCTACTATATTCAACCACTTTCACCCTTTCCTTATATCCTTTGCCCTCCCACTGATACCAACCCCCAGACAGGACCTGTTTTACCTTCTTGTTCTCCATTTTTGAAAAAAAGGTATTTTTGTTTAAGATAGCTCTATAGGGAGTTTCCTTGTGACATTTTATGGATGAGCTATAGGAGAAAGAAAGAGGGGACAAATGTTGCAGCTTTCCAATATTTGCTTCTTAATACTGTTTTCTTTAAACAATGTAGATATACTTCTTTGATCAAAATAAAAAGAATTTTTAAAAATATTTCATAATGTGTATAAGTACAATAATGTATTTCTATATAGACTTGGGTTAATATAAAACTTACTTTTTAAAAAATTGATTGCTCTAATCCCTGCAAATATTCCACTAAAATGTCCAGCTCTTAAAAGTGTACAATAAACACTAACTTTATCTATGATATACTATATACTCTGATATAACCCTAAAAAGATATCTGTTGAATTAACTTGAATATAGCAGAAAAAAATACAAAGGAAAAAGTTCCATTGTACAATCAAGGTTGCAGTGGGAAAGAGACAGCACCTTCACATGGAGTAACTGAGGTGAATTTAAGGGTTAAGGAATCAATGAAGGATTATCTACTCCCCTACAGTGAGCAAAAAATTTAACTGTTAACACCCCAGCCTTAAATGGGTAAAGGAAAGAAGCAGTTTACCAGACAGTGGAAAGAGCTATAGCTGCAGCCCTTGGCAGGTCCTGTGGCCTTCCATAGAGAACAAAGCCAGTGCCAACCTCGCATTCCAGATCTTCACCCAGTATCTTCCACTGGCTAATACAATGGAAAGCCAGCAAAAAGGGAGCACAGGGAATGCTTGCAACAGATATTAGCCTCTTAGGGGCACAAAGCCCATTAGAGAAAAAGCAGAGCGTACAAATGGAGAATACACAGATGACCACTATGCAAAGATGTTAATTTGCTTCCCTTTCCTACTCAGTCCCATAAAACAAACTTCCCAGTTTTTCATCTATTTAGGAAATATGCATGGAATAATAACAATAACATCTGATGCTATGTAGCACCCTACAATTTGTAAAGTGCATTCATATACAATATTTTTATGAGATCCTCAGAACATCTGTATGTAGTACCTACAGCAAGGGTTATCCTGATTTAACACATGACGAATATGAGACCTTAAGGAAAGTTAAGACTGTTCCCCAGAGTCACAAAGCTAGCAAGTGGCAGAGCCAAAACTAGGTGTGCTTCCCAATACTCCACTAAGGTTCTTCCCACCATATAATGCCATCATGCTATTTATGCACAGTAGGAAGGCAAAACTGATATCCCTCTGAGAAAAATTATTAACCAGACTTGTTCTAGGCACTGCATATAACAATGAAGTAGTCAACAAATAAGATACAAGGAGAAATAGAGAAAATTTGCCTGTTCCATTCTCAGGAAACCACAAGCAATGCCAGAGATGGAAGTAATGGAGTTTTCGGTCACATTTTTATCAGTAGGACAACAAAAAGTGCTCAAAATAGAAATTAAAATTTAGGGGCAAATAGAAAAACATGTAGAGAGTATAGCAGTTTTGTTTTGAGATACTCAAGTAAATAGGAAAAAAACCCACAGCCCTTCATAATCCCCTTACCACAAAGACACCAAAGCTCTAGAAACTGAGAGGAATGTCATGTTTCTCTTCTAATTTCCAGCCGCACTTCTGTATAGGCACACATCATTGAAGAACTTAGAGAAGCAATCAAGGGTGACTTTTTTCTTGTACCGAAAGCAGGAGTACTGTGGAATCCAGCAAAATAGTTTATTTTTGAGAGTCTAATTGAGAACTCTCCACTTTTGGCAATCTACTGCAAAACATTCAGCTCCTTGCACATAATGGAAGAAAATAATGAATGGTATTTCAATTGAAAAACCTCAAAAATAGCCTATTTCCTCTACATCTAGTTTGCTAATGCATAAGCTACTCTATGAATTAGGGTTGTGAGATTGCAAGCAACAAAAACATATTGGCTAATTTTAAGAGGATTGTTGGAAGGAAATTAGAGGCTCAGTGAATACAAGTCAGAGTAGAAAATAAGGCTTGGAGACCATCACTAGCCAAGACATATATGGAGGTCAGGAAATGGGAAATAATACCAGTGGTCTGCTAAAAGATATTGTTAGATCAGAGTGTCCAACTGGGACAAAAGAGAACCACTTAGCTAACGATCCAAATTCCAAAGAAGGAGAATCCACTCAACCAAGCTCAAAGTCATATACCCACCCACAGTCTGAGTGCAGGCTCCCAATTACAACTCACTAGACTAAGAACCTCATATGGAAATAAAGGTGCAATTAATGGAAAACAGACACAGGACAGGGAAAAAATGGGAAAGGGTATTCCTCTATACTTACCAAAGTTTTCTTCAAAGATTCCTTAAGAATCTAGCTAATAGTAAGTCATTAATTCCTTAAGACTATAATTTCTCAAAATTCTATTAATTAATAATTGACCACACACAACCTAAAAAAACATTTTCCCCAATACCTAAAAAAAACTTCAACTTGGGTTTGTGATGTGGCTCAAGGAATAGAGTGCCTACCTAACAAGTGGAAGATCCTGAGCTCAAACCCCAGTATCACCAAAAAAAACTTCAACTTGATAACTTCTTCTAGAAACTTCATTTCTCATTAATTACATAAATGTAATTGATTCCTATTATGTACTCATGTATGAAAGTGGAAAAATGAGACCTGTTGAAACTATTCTAAGAAGGAGGGAAGAAGAGATAAAGGAAAGTGATGGAGGGGTATGAATTTAACTAAAACATGCTGTAAGCACTTTTGTAAATGTTACAATGTTCCCCCAGTACAATAATAATATGATAATAAAAAAATTTTTAATGTAATTGATTCCTAAGGACAAAGAAGAATTTGTTCTTCTTTGGTAACAACAGGCTCACCTTAGAAGCATTATCTTGAAGCTTTTAAAAAGAATACATTTTTCAAAATAGCTAATGAATAAAATCATAAGACTGCTGCCGATAATGCTGATGATGATGAAGATAAGAATGACAGTAATATTAACAAGAGTAACAGCAGCTAACAACTACTGGCACCTTACCACAGGCCAGGACCTGTCCTTCTACAACTAGAAGAAACAGACAATATTATCATCTCCATTTCACAGATTAGGAAATTGTTACACAAAGGGAATGAATGATTTGTCCGTGGCCTGATAGTTAAATAGGACTAAACCCATGTCTGACTCTAGAGTACTAATGCAACAAAGGATTTTTGTGGAGACAAAAAAAAAAAAAAAAACAGGTGCCAGTATGAAAACATCCCCCAAGAGGAATGCAGGCATATATCTGTATCTAACAATTACAAAGCTCTCAAGATGGCTACACCACCATTACATCCAATAAGTTATGAGCATTAATTACTAAAAGCTATCAGGCACTGCTTAATTCCAAGAAGTGGCACAATGTTCTAGAGATATGAAAGTTATATGGTTAAAAATAAGAAGCATCTAATTCTTAAGACACTAATGGCCAACCATTACAGCAAAATTCCAGGCCAACCGGCTGTCATGAACCAGTTTGCTTGCCCCAAAGCAAATCCCCAAAACAGAGTTTTCATAGCTCATGTTTCAACCATTCAAAAGGGATTTTCTCCAATTTCCTTGTAAAATTCTTCTTTACTCTCAAAATATACATTAAAAACTCAGGCCCAAAAGCAGATTTCTCATAAAGTTAGGAATAAGTTTAAATATATGGTAAATCAAAGTGGCTTTCCAACTTTAACTAAAGTGGTCACAGTCATGATTACTGTAATAAAAATGACAGAAAAAAAACGAAATTTGTCAAAAACATAATTGATGATGAAAACAAATGTAAAATTATGGCATATTTCACCCTGGCCACCAAAGACTCTTGATGAAACTGCAGCCCTATAATTCCCCAGAATGAATTCTCTAAATTAAAATACTTCATGCAGAACAGAAATTAAACAATGAATCAAAGAACAATGCTATACAGACGTATGCTTATAAATATACCTAGCAAAGAAGAAACAATTATACTTTTCCAGGTAAAAACCAGCCAGATTGTAATGTTTCACACGAGGCTGAGAAGATATTTTTCCCATCGCTTCAGGTCTGGAAGTACATTTCCTATAACTCACTCAGGGTTCGGAGTAACTGGGTGGAATGCAATTAGCTCCACCAAACTGGCTGGCTTTCTCCTTTCTACAAAACTAGCTCTTCCACACAACTGCACAACTGACTTTCATGATAAATTTCATTCAAGACAATTGAAATGCCACTCTGCATTTTATTTTAAATGCTTTATTTGGCCACTTGGTTTTATTTAACTATTGACCAGAAGTGGTACAAGTGCATTATTTTTCCCTCTAGCATTAATCTTAGTAAACTTAGCTCTATTGGAATGACTTAACCGCTGAGAAGAAAGCAAAAGTCAGCAAGCATACAACTGCATTTGGCCACCCTCAGCACATCATTTTATTTCCTCTTGCTCTCTGCTAACTACTGCTCAGCCCCTTTGCCTATGAGGGAGGACAAGCAGGTGGTTAAGGAAGTTGTCCTGTCAGCTATATCTTTAATCCAAGTGTTTAAGTCTCTGAATAAAAGAAAAATCAATGTTGTAAAGGCAATGTTTGTCAAGGCCACATAATAAATACACTTACCTTTACAGACTGTTCTCAATGGATTTCCCTTCTTTGCTGAGTTTCAAAGCTACAAAGAGATAAAAACGAAAGACTGAGCTGTCTAAGAATAAAACACCAAATGTTTTCTTTCCATGTTGCTAAATAAAATTTCCATATGCTATGGTATGTGGTGTTAGTCAAATAAATTATTGATAAAACTTATGTCCTATATCTCCTGTCTAAGTGAACAATAAAAGACACTGTCTTCTATGGTTTGGATGTGGTTTGAGTGTATTCCAAGGCTTCATGTGTTGAAATTTACTTCCCACTGTGAGATATCAAGAGGGTGGAAACTTAACCCACTCTGGTGTTTAAAGGTAAGGCCTCTGAGAGGTGATTAGAGTTAGATAAGGTCATCAGGGTACAGAACCCACGTTTGAATCCTGAAGAATCCTAAGAAGAGGAAGAGAAACCAGACACACACACACATACACTCACTCACACACACACATTTGCATATCCTGTCTCGGCCATGTGAAGCCCTGTACATAGGTGGAACTCTGCCAGCAAAAAAGCTATCCCCAGATGCAGTCCCTCAACCTTGGACCTCAAGAACCTCCTTAATATATACATATATATAAAACTGTGTGTGTGTGTAATTTACCCAATCTGTACTATGGTGGTATTGGCAAGAAAAAATACACAGCTATAAACTGAAAACAGCAAATACATCTACCCAAAACTGAATCACACAAACCTGGCCAAATCTATCTCAAATCTTTTGGGATATGAAGTTCTGAACAGTGATAACTTATAAAGGATGAAGATGAAAATCACATTAAATATCAGTGTGGCACATGCAATCTAACCAAGCATTTATTTTCTTAATTCTTTGGTCATCTTATATTTTGGGGGGGGGGGGGTGTAGAAGGGCGTAGGGAGCAGTTAGCAGAGTTTAAACTCCAGGCCTCACGCTTGCTAGGCAGGCACTCTACCACTGAAGCTACTCCCCCAGCCCTCTTTCCTGAATTTTCCATTTCCACTTCCCTGAGAAAATTTTACTTGGGGAAGCCTATCCCATTTATATGAGGTGACAGGTATGCTCAGTACAGATTGCACCACTGGCCTGTACATGTGTACACGCTTACAGGTACAATCACCCTTTCTCTAGGGTAGTACCATATGTACTATGTACTGAGCACTCACAAATCAATATGATCTGTTGTTAAGCAGTAGCAATAACTTAAGGTTACAAGAGGTTGATTCTATACTAGTCTAACATTACTCATACGGTGCTCTATGAAAATTACTGGAATATGCCTCTTCCTTTCATTCTTGACTAGATCCTAACGTCTCCTAAAGGTGTAATAGCTGAGAATGGACAACTACTCTGTGGTTTTCCCATAGTTATTTTTCCTTCAACATCGTTAAGTGATTGCTTCAGCTCTTACTGGACTATTTCCCTCCACATCTCTTTATCCCACCAAAGAGCCCATTCCTACTCATGAAAAAAAATAGGCCAAAATTATAAGCAATGATATAAATCTTGGAACATTAATGCAGCAGAAAAAGCCCCTCTCTGTAGGAAAGGACCAGAAATTTCTCTCTACCTCTTTGTTACATGCAATAGGGTTAAGAAAAGCATAATTTGAGAAAGAATAGATAAAATAGTGTAACACTGGACTTTGTGAAGTCTAGGAGATTGATAATCTAGAGCCTGGAGATTGGGCTGACTCCCTTTCTACTTTAAACACACAGAAACTCACTAAACCAAATATAGAATGTATACACACACACACACACACACACACACACACACACAAGTTCAAAAGAAAAAGGTCTTATGAAGATACAATGTTTGTAAATTTTCTGGAATAAAAAGCATGATTCCTCTTTAAAAACACATCAAGATCACAAGATAAATACAAGAAAATCCAAACTCATTACATCAGAATGAAACCACAGAACACCAGAGATAGACAGTCTCAAAGTCAACCAAAGAGAAAAAAGAAAACAGATTTCTGGCAAAAGAATGTCATCCATACAAACAAAAAACAAGACAGAAATGGAATAACATATTCAAAGTTCTAAGGGGGAAAAAGTTTCACCAAACTTCTCTACTCACACCAAACCTATCATTCAAAAATGAGAGAGAGAAATAAAGATGTTATCCAGAAAAGACTATTTACTGTTCACAGTAGTTAACTTTTCCTGAAAGAAATATTTTAAAAATACTTGAAGAAAGAATTGATCCTAGAAGAAGGAGTGAGGAACAAGAACCAATGGCGAACAGAGACATTGGCAAACATAATGATAAGTCTAGCAAACTTAATAATAAAAATGTGTAATAGTAATTATTAAGCTCTGTAAAAAAAGGGAAACCAATGACAATAACTAATGTTTAGGGTTTGCAAATAAAATTAAACTGAGAGGTTTGCCACAATCATATGGAATAGGGAGGCTAGAATAGTTTAGGAGGAAGCCAGAGATTTTGATTAAGTTGTTAAAAACTGTGTTAAAACTACTGATTGGCTTGTTAAAGATAACCAGCATATCTTTATTGAAATAACCAGAGATCCTTGAACAAGTGCTAACAGAGGTTCATACAGCAATGTTTAGAGAATTGCTAGAATGGCTAAAATGCCAGAAACAACCCAAACATCTATCGATAGTTCAATTAACACATTTTTACAGATTCTCACAATGCAATATTATACAAATTGGAAAAAATCAATGAAACCATTACCCTTACTGACATGGTGTAAAAGAAAAGGAGAAAGTCACAGAAGCCTATATATAATATATTAACATTCAAAAAAGCAAAAATAAATACTATGTTGTTGTGGAATATAAAATGTAAGTAGCAAAAAAAACAAAAAAGCTACAGGTAAAATCCAAAAAACAGGCACAGTAGCTCATGCCTATAATCCCAACTACTTAGGAGTCAGAGATTGGGAGGACCACAGTTGACAAAAAAAGAAAAAGTTAGCAAGATTCCACCTCAACCAATAAGCTGGGCATGTTGGCACACACCAATCATCCCAGCTATGTGGCAGGATAAATAGGAGGATCATGATCCAGGCCAGTCCCAGGCAAAAGCAAGACCCTAACCAAAAAATGAGTGAGGCAAAAAAAAGGCCTGGGGGCATGGCTCAAGTGGTACAGCACCTGCTTAACAAGTGCAAAGACCTAAGTTCAAACCCCAGTACAACCAAAAAAAAAAAAAAAGAAAAGAAAAGAAATGATTTACAAGAATTCAGGCTATCTATCTTGGGGATGGGGAAGGAGATATAATGGCCAAGAAGCACTGGAATAAATGAAATATGCAAATACTCTTATTTCTAAAGGCCTGGGGAGAGTTATCTAGATAATCAATTTATTATTTTCTTTAATATATAGGTACACTTTTTTTAAATGTGCACTTTCAAATAATTTTGTGTATATCCTCTTTTTCACATTTAAACATGTAAGAGTAATCACCAAAGGAACAGAAATTTCAAAACCAATGGAGTAAATAAACAGTGTAAAGAAAACTCAATGAATGCTCTAGAGAAGACTAGTATGGAAAGGAAAACACAGTGAATAAAAAACACAAAGCAAGGGCACCAGTGACTCACTCCTGTAATCCTAGATAACTTAGGAGGCAGAGATCAGGAGGATCGCAGTTCGAAGCCAGCCCAGGGAAATAGTTCACAAGACTCTATCTCGAAAAAAAATCCCTTACAAAAAACAGTTGATGGAATGGCTCAAGATGTAGGCCCTGAGTTCAAGCTCCAGTGCCGCCAATAAATAAATGAAATAGTTAAAATGCAAAAAAAAACAAAAAACAAAAAACCACAAAGTAAGGTATTTCAATGTGATGTTTATAAGGAACACACCTAAAGAAGTGTTTTAAAAAAGGTTTGAAGACAAAACTATATAGCAAGCAAGTTGGAACCAAGAGAGACTAACAGAAATAAGTTAAAATTAAGCAAAATTGAAGTTAGAAATAATAGAACAAGTATTATACAGTTATCTATTGCTACATAAAAAACAGCCAAAAATTAGTAACTTAAAAATAATAATTATTAACTCTCATTGTTTCTATAGAACAGGAATTCTGAGAAAGGACAGCAGGACAGTTTTTCAAAATGCTACAAGGCTGAAAACCTCAACTGGAAGACTTGAGCTTAGGGACAGGAATCATCAAAAGGCTCATTTCCCCCACATATCTGCCCGTTGTTGCTCAGGGTTAGTTGAGACCATAGCTGGAACTGTCAGCTGGAAGGCTCACAGGCAGACTCTCCATGTGACTTGAGGCTCCTCAAAGTATGGTGGCTGGGTTCCAAAGGCAAGAGTTCTGAGAGAGAGAATCAAGTAGAAGCTCAATTTTTTAAGACCTATACTCAAAAGTCACATAACACCATTTATACTGCACTCACAAATTCAGAGGAAGAGCACAAAGACACACACACACACCCCTTCAAGTGGAAGAAGTGTCAATCACATTGTAGAGGACCACTTGGTGCAAACACCTTTGGAAAAACATAATTAGCCTCAGCATTCTTTACAAGTAGATGTGGAACATAAGCTACAAGGGTGGTCTCAACAAATATCAACAACAAACATCAAATGTTCTCATTATAATGCACTGAAGTTGGAAAGCAATTATAAAATGAGATTTTAAAAATACGTTTGAAAATTATAGTCTACAATGGCAATTTCCCTTTCTGAGCTGGGGTTGGACAAAGACAGTAAGTAAATCCCACTGCATTATGGTCTGTACCTAGAGTTGAAGAAAGTTAGTAGTTTGACTGTGAATATAATGGATTTGAAGTATCTGAGAGAGAACTAAAAGAGAATGTCCAGGTAAGTAATTGGACATATGGGTCTACAGCCGAAGAAGGCGGGTCTGGGTGCTGTGAATTGTCCTTAAGTAAGAAGTAGCTGTAACTGTGAATATGGATGTAACAGCATCAAGTAGAGTAAGAAAGGGGCCTAGGACTGATTCTTGGGAAGCTCAACATTGAATACGGAGAATGAGTCCTACCTGGGAGAGACAATGGTTACAAGAGGAGATAAATGGAAACCTCAAATGTCACAGAAAGGTCACATGATATAAATACTAAAAATGCTCAGTGTAAAAGAATTCAATGCAAACAGACGGAGATAGGATTTAGTTTGGGGGAGGTTAAAAAAGAAGTGGAAATCATTAAAAGAAGACAGTAAAGATGATCCTATACAAGTTTGGCTATTAAGGGTAGAAAAGCAAGTGGCAGCTAGAAGGACAGTTTGTAGTTTTTAGACAGAAACAACCTAGAGTGTGTCAGGGTGATGAGAATGCCCATTTGAGACACGAGAGAGAGAAAGGTAACCAGCACTGAAGGAAGGGTTCTCAGGAGGTTGAAAGGCACAGGTTATAGACTAGCCTTAAGCAGAGCTTTAATCTCACCTTGACCCCATAATGCCCTATAATAAACACTCACGTATATTGTCTTGAAGTATTATTTCCTCGTGTGTTTATGTTTTCTAACCTTAATTAGAATCTAAGGTCTTTAAAACCTATGACCTTTATTGTTCAAACCAGCCCACATTACTCACACGTACTTGCAAGCCCCAGATTCTATCCCAGCACCCACACTCATTCAATAAACACTTGAGCTAGGCATGGTGGTTCATGCCTGTAATCCCAGTACTCAAGAGGCTGAGGTAGAAGGATCATGAGTTCAAGGCCAGCCTAGGCTATATAATGAGACCCTGCCTGAAAAACAAAACAAAAAAAGGTGTTGGATAAACAAATACAAGTGCATTCTATAGTCTCTCTGACATTTGTGCCTAAAAATTAGTTGTGTGGATGTGGATGTGAGTGGGTAGGTGTGCTAATTATCCAAAGTGGGAAGAAGTCAGGACCCAAAAGTCAGAAACAGCCACTTGAATTAGACCTCTCTTTCCCATGTTTTTCTTCACCAGAAAATCCAAAAAATCTAAACTTCTATAGGCCATGAAAACATTTTCACCTATAGCCACAGTGTTACATGACTTCCTACCCTCCTCATGCCTAACTCACCCACATTCTGTTTTCAAGAAGACAATGGCCTCTGTAAGACTCTGTAAGACATTTAAATGAATCCAAATAGGTTTGGGCTGCAGCTGCTCCTAAAAAAAATAAATATGAAAGCAGTGCAGAACAGACCAACAATACACTGATTTATCTTGGAGGTTTTTCACCTTACAAACATCAACCCATAGTCCAGCCCCTAGCCCCCTTAAAAACTGACCTGAATCTAAAGAAACATCTTTCCCAAATATAGAAACCTGATTTGATTGTCATTCATCTTTTCCCAGTTGAAACCTATTTCTGAGAATCATCCAACCCAACCACACCTTACTTAGGACAAGGTTGCCAGGAACTCAGGACTTGCCTGTATTGATGTATTCTGCAGCTCTCACCTGACTTAACTGCCACATTGAAAGATTAGTTATTGACCTTTAAGTCTGTAACAATTATCTACACACCCAGGAAAGAGGCTTGCATTCAGGTACAAAAGTAAAGACACTGAATAAATGCAGCCCACATTTTCATTTTTATGCTACATTCAGTGAGCTGTTACTGCAGACAAATTATTGCAACATTCTTTTAAAGGATAGCCAATTTTCAACTAAGAGAAGATTCTTAAACCTCTTTCTTAAACCTTTTTATACATATCACCAAAAGCCCAGGCAGTTGGAAAACACAGCCCTGGCTAAACTACCTGATGATAAATGAGTGTTTTAAATACATGGAATTATTTGAGAATCTGCATACTGATTTAAACCTTCACAAGAAATAACAGCAAAGACCCCAAATACCTGACGCTTCTCAGATACATTTTTAGAAGTTTTATTTCAATGTATATGTACATATTTCTTACGGATTATTTTAAGAAGTTGTGAAACTCAGACATGGATAGAGTTCAGAGCTAGTGGCCAGAATAATTCTTCATTTTGTGATTTATCTGGAAAACTAGTCAATATTGTCAAAATACGCACGTGACTATCTTTCCATAATACAAGTTCAACAATAATACAGTCTACTGAATCTACCTTCTGTAGGACAGTGTCTAGCATGTAACATACATACAATAAAATCTGTTTAATAACAGAATAATTTTTCATTATTAATATTAGTGAACAGTGATTAGAAATTCTAAAGCTAAGATTAGTTTTAGGTTTTGTTCTTTTTTTCATCCTCTAATTTTGTACTTTAGGCTTTCATAAAAACAAAAAGATCTCTCTCTACTGAAACATGCCCTTCTGTGGCCTGAGGCACACACATGTGCACATGCACACACACACACACACATAAGCCTCACTTGCCACACCTGTTCAATACTGTCATATTTGCTAGGCACTGGAAAAGTAAATTTGCCACGTAGCATGAGATCTGGAAAATCATTAGGTGACATCTGAGGGAACAGAATATCAATCAGCCAATAATTAGCATCTCAAAATTCACAGAGTTACAGACAAATCAAATTCCATGAAATCTTGGGGAGCATGACCCACACTGGGTTGGTGACCTGACAATGGGGGGTGGAGGTCAGTGAATTGTCTAGCCACTAAACAGGACTAGAAAGGACTAGCCTAATCCCAGGAGGAGACATTGTGACAATGTGACATTTGCACAGGGATGTCCTAACATGGCCCCACTATGTTTTCTCAGAATGGGATGACATTTCAAGTCAAACAGTTCTGCTCCCGACAGCAAAGGCTCTCCCCAAACTCTACTAGCCAGAATTTAAGAAAAAGAGGGTTGTCTTTAGGAGAAAGTGAGGTTATACAGATGCAGTGTTAAAATAATCCATTTTTAAGGGAGGTCAAACCCCAGTTATTGAGTATTTGACCTCATTTGTTACCTTCCCATCAATAGACCTCAGATAGCCTTGGTCTAAGAACCCACTCTCACTTAAGCAAACTCTTCTTTTGCCACATCCACACTGGATACTTTTCACTGAGTGCTGAAACCACTTTGAAAGTTGTGCTAAGAAGCATAGAGAGTAGCTATCAGTGTACTGTGGCCTCACCAAGCTCCTGCTGCCTGGAACTGCTGTCCACATGTGAGTCGTCCAAGGACACATGGCCACTGTTGCTATCACTGCCTCCAGCCTATCTAAGGTCACCTTTTCTGCATGGCTGCCTCATTCTACAGGAAAAAAAACAGAGCTTGAGAACGCCAACTCCCCATTTGTATTTTGCACTTGCCAACTCTACCCCAACCCCACCCCCAGATGACTTGGGGAAAGCACCCTTAAGAGGAGGCCAGAATGAAGGGCCCAACCTCCCACCAGACTTCTTCACCCTGAGGGGCAAATGCTGTGCCCCCACCACATGGCTTGTGTGTGCCAGTTGAATCTGCACCCACCCTAAGCCGAGGGTGACTGTCTGCCAGACCCCTGCTCCGCTGCAGGGTTAGGCAATATTCTGTGCTCCTCCTGGCTTACAGCCCAGGGCTCAAATGGTCCAACTACGTCACTGTGGAGAGGGAATCTGGTTGTGCCCTCCTCTGAACTCTCCATCTGGAACATTCACTGGCCTCCTTCCCTCTCATTTTTAATCTGACAGACACTGCTGGACAGGGAAACTCAGAGCAGACCAAAGTTCATCTTTGCTTCTCTACTTCTCGGCTGGTATAATCGGGTGGGGGGGGGGGGGCAGAATGAGGTTGCATGGATCAGGATGCTAGGAATTAAATGAGGGTCCTGACCACTGGACCACATTGGTCCTGTCTTCCAAAGTCTTAATTAGTCCTCTTCTGCCTGGCATACCCACATGCCTCTGGAACTCACATAGGTGACAGGGTAAGATGCCATGCTCACAGCAAATATTCCACAGAATATTGTTTGAGGATGGCAACTGCAATGCCTGCTGGCTCATGGCTTTACAATAACAGTCACTTTTGAGGTCTGAGCACCAGCAGCAAAATTTCTACTCCTCTTTCCAGTGCAGACAGTTCTACCAGCATTATTCTGAGACATATTCACCCACTAGCTCAATTTGGAAGCAAAATGATCTTAACAAACAGTGGCAGACTTGACAGACAGGCTGCTGAGCCTGGGGACCAAAACAAAGGATGCAAAGAAAAAGGAAGGGAGGGTTGATATCAAAAGGAAGAGAGGAAAATGAATGCTACAGAGAGAAACAAGGAGGAGTATAAGACTAGATACCTCAATGCTACAACTCTGAAATAAGCTGTAAATGTAACAACAGACTCAGGGGTGGAAACGATGGAGGGGAAATCAAGGAAAGGGAACAGGGCAGCATCTGTTTGAAATTTTGTTGCTGAGATAGACATTGGGCTAGCAGTGGAATAGATTTGACAGCAACATTGAGAGATTTCAAAAGACAATGAGTCTTAATTCTGTCCTGTTTTGTACCTCTTGAACTACTGACACACCAAAACTCACTATTTTTCTAAGAGGACATTGACAGATACAATGGAAATTCTGAATACATTTTCCCCTCTACATTCATTATCTCTGGCCCTTATCCACAGGCCTATTGCAGACTAAATTGGATTTTGGATCACTGGTACTGAGGCGCTGCAATTAATTAACAATAGAAACATAATATTTATATCCAGGCCTAACAACATCTGACATTTAAACTATTCTGCCAGTCGGGCAAATTCCATTCGACAAATTTTCATTTTAATGAACATGACAGGCCACAGTTTACATGATAGGCCAAGAAGCAGAACCAAGTTGATTTCTTGGCATGTGCTTTCAAGGACTGGCCATGCTGCAGGAGAAATAAGCTGCTGCAGGAGGACTGTCAGAATAACAGAAAGACCTGTTCCCTAGTTCCACCCAGAAAGAACAAGGCCATTCCACCCACATGTTCCTCCTTAACAACCCTAGGATGAAACTGGCCTTGCTTCCTGTGTGCACTCAAAGTTAAATAGTCTCTGCCCTTCTGATCCATTGGATAATTTTTCTATCTTTAGGCTGATGACATTTTCTTTGGGGCACTCAAATCCCTTAGTCCTTCTTAATTAAAAAGTGATAAACGTTTTGCAAGGCATCCAACAATGTGCAAAATACACGAGAGTTGGAACTGATGCAGCTTTTTCAGTTGGCACAAGACTGGCCTTCCGCATTTTGCCAGATGGTGCATCTCAGTAAGTCCCCAATCCCTGACTCAAGTGAGGGACATTGTCAATATGATGCTGAAGCAGACTCTTTAAATGCTATCTTATTTTGCATTATACTAACACCATGGGTCTAACATTTATTCTTGCTGAAACTTTCACAGTCACAGCTAAAGATTTCATTTTTCTGTGACTCATTATTCAAGCTAACAGAATTTGGTATGGATATGAACAAAAATTCTACCAACATAAGAACCATGTAAATTTGATGGAGACCAATGTCAGAAAGCAAATCTCCCAGTCTTACTTCCTATTGCTCTTCTAGGAGCTATAGGTCTAAAGGAAATTGGGCCAAATAGAGTGGATCTATCCAAATCCATCTCTATTACCCCAAAAACATGGGTGTAAAACACAGAAACGAAGATTAAAAAAAAAATGCAAACCATATATTACAAGGCAGATAAAAAGAACTTAATAGATGTGGGAAACAAAGTGAAAAACTAAAGATGAGTACTTATTGGAAGGCTCACATATTTCTATGTTAGTTTTTATACCAATTAAAAGAAGTGAAATAAAGTTCCATCTTAAAAGTAATACTTCTTTGGAGTATGGATCTGGTTCATGGGTTATAATCTTAGCACCTGAAATAGCCACTTTCACCATGATTCATCTTCAAGCTGTGTCTTGACTACATCCAAAAAAGAACTATGTTCCATGTTACTTTTAGCTATGGCCATGATGTCACAACATTAAATAATGGAAGGATGACAGCATTTCTGCTACATAACCTAATCAACAATTCAACAAATTTTCACTCACAATTCAGGGTTTTGAATGCATCCCCTCGTGCATAACACTATGAGGTATTATGAACTCTATCACACACTGAGAAAAGAGTAGTTATAGTTAACTGACCTCCCTAAGAGGTAAAATCCAAGGTTGCAGGCATGTAAGTGGCAGAGTTTAGGTGTAAATCCAAGTCTATCTCCCTTCAGAGCCTGCGCTCCACCCAACACAGTGACATATGATGGCATCCTCAAGGGAGAAGCGTGAAGGAATTGATTCCTTTTGGCAATAGTCAAAGTATTTTTTAAATATCAGGTATAAAACATTTTCAGACCACCAGATGCTTAAATTTTGAAAAGTCAATTTTATGGAGTTGCTATGAGTAGCTTCATGTTTGTCAATGCCTGATTATATTCTTGGAAATGTAGGGGACTTAAAGATCTAAAAATGTCTTTGTGAAAGTCAGGAAGCAAAACAAGACCCTAACCAGATTGAAAGGAAAATATTTGACAGAACACAAATGAATAGAATCTGTAACTCCAACAAGCCTTTGTGGGCAGCATGTACTGAAATGGTCATATCAAATTCCAAACACAAAAGACTTAACATGCTTATTGTTGTAAACAAAGGCATTTGGTTAAATGAAAGTTCCATCAAAGCTTAATAACCAAATTCAAGTGAACACAAAGTAAAGGGTTATATACTTTCTGTGGTTTCAGTAATAGCTAATCTAATAATGGCAAATGGAGGGTTATTGTTGATTCCTTTGCCTCTGGTTCATAAATTAGATAAAGCAACCTGGCAGTTACAGTACTTCAGAGTTTTATTTGACTAAGTGATTTTAAAGCTATCTCAAAATATAACAAAGTCATGACTTGAATGACTGCTGATCTGTACCTTTCTTTCTGTCACCACGTTAGAACTTTCCCACCAGTGTTAAGTAAAAAGCTTCCTGATAACTAAAACAATTCACAGTTTCTATCTACAGAAGCAAACCATTTAGAAGGCAAAGTGTCATTGATATAGTATTATCTGATATTTGATTTCACCAGGGCCAAGCTTATAAAATACAAACTATAAGAGCAGTCAAGTGTTATTTATTTCTTTTGATCCACAACTTAGGAAAAGAATTTCTCTGCTTAGTATTTTTTATAGCACATTTCCCATTTTCTACTACAGTTTATTGATTTGGAATACCAAAATCATTTTCTTCCCTGGCTAAAGAACACACAAAGCCCATGCCCAGGGTCCTGTGGGATGCACCTCCACAGATGATAGTGGTGGAATCTTATCAGGCAACTGAACGGTAGTAATGTGAACCAAGGTATCATCCTTACTGAAAAGATGTGCTGGTTCAATCTCTGGTCTTTTGATAACAGGAAATACATCCTGATCCTTTGCACTTAGAGATGAGGCTCAACACCTGGAGTTGAGTGTCAATGAGTTGCCCTTCACAAAGGCAGTCTATTTTCCTGCATTTTCTCTTTATGCCCTGATATGGTTACTTTCAAATACCCCGATAGCCCAGGAAGCAAAATATCCCTCTCTCCACATTTCATTCACATATTAAGAATCTGCAAGCTGTTCTGTATGACAGATAAGGACTGTGTGTTGAAGCAACTTGTTCCGCCTGTCAGCCTCCAAGAACCCACAGCAATGAGATACAATCGTGATGACATTACTAGAGGAAAAGTGGGTCAAATACATGGTCACTTTAAAACAATGTCAACTATTCTTTCTTTCTACTTCAGTAAGTTGATGCAGTGGTACTCAAAACAGACAGACAGACACACACACACACACACACACACACACACACAGAAAGAGAGAGAGAGATGGAGACAGAAAAAAAAGAAAAAAGAGGTCAGTGCTATTATCTTTGTGTCCACACACAAATCAAATAAATGCAAACACTGCTAAAATGACTTTTTACACACACCCTTAAATGACTTTTTCAGCTTCAGCCAATGAGTCAAAAAATGTTTATGAAGCATCTAGTATAAGTCAGATACTGAACTGGGTACTAATGGTAGGATATTGAAAGCAACACAGCTCCTGCCCTCCTAGAGCTCGCAGTCAAGGGTAGAGGACAAACTTTAACATGCGAACTGAGATTAATGTAACAAAAGACTCAAAAAATGAAGCCCAGGATACTGAGAGTTTAGAGTACAAAAACTAACCAAGTCTTAAGGATGAGAAAAGGTTTCCCTGTGGAAGTAACGTAAATGTGCCTTGGCTTAAAAGCCAAGGCCT